GGGATAAAAGTAAAAAGAAATGATTAGTTCCTCAATGGTTAGGCAAGAATCATATAGACAACTTTCAATATTACCCAACATTGTTTAGCACAGGAAGGAACTGCTTACCAAAGGACCATCTCTAAAATTAAAGCAATAACTAATGTTTTTTTCAGCCCCTTTTTGTTAACACTTTACCCAATAATTAACTGAGGAGATCTAGTACCTTAAAACCAGCCAAACATGACTCACTATACAAAAATTCCCAAATTAAGAATAGTGGGTTCAATATTCTACAAAAAAACATTCAATACATTAAGTCAGAACTTCTACATTATGTCCTTTAGCGACTCATATTAATTTCAATTTTGCCCTTTTCCTTGAAACATTGATAATTTTTTACTCAATGAAAAATGGTTAGGTAATACAGTTAAGGAAAAGATCAGCAGAAGCAAAATTTTGAGTTTTTTGTTAATGACACTGCTTTGGACCTTACCTGTGCTGCAATTTATCACCTAGAAAATGGATTTGACATTATTTTTCTACCTCCCACAAAAATCAAATGGTTTAATACGGAATTGTAAAGGATTTGCAGGTACAACATGTCTCTTAATATATTAGTGCTAATGTTTAGCATAATACAAACTCTTAGCTCTTGTATCATTTTATATAATCATTTTAGTCTTACTACCAACTTAGAAATGAATTGACAATTTATTCCTTTAAAATCTACCTGTTTCTCTGAACCTGACCTCAGCATTATTTAACAAAGCATAAAGAAAAATGCTATCAAACCATAGCTATATCATCCTGAGTTTCAGTGAATGCTTCTGCATCTGCAGAGCAAGAGGGAATGACAGCAGTGATGGCAAAATTTTTGCATGTAAATAAGATCTCTACCTTTTCATTATGTATGAGAGCTTCCAGAATACAGAAACCTAAGTCTATGTACTGAATAAATGAGGCTGCTAAGAAAAAAAACATGTTGGTCCTTAGTAAGATAAATAAATAGTTAACAATAATAAAAATTGAAAAAATTCTCAAGTTTTTAATAAGATCTCAATAGCCAATGACTCTAGAGCCTAATGTTATCTTTCGGTGTAACAGAGAAATATTAATACTTTACATGTATATAGCATGTGGTTATTTACAAAGTGATTACACATATTATTTCACTTTCTCCTCACAATAAATGTGCAAGTGAACATATTTCATAGCTGAGATATTTCAGAGAGGTTATGTGGCTTTTTTAAGTATCACATAGATAATCAGAACACAATATTTTAAGCCAAATCTTTTTTGATCCTAATAGTTATTTGCAAATTTTCATATACTGATTGATCCAAGTCTATGTATTTCATAACAAAGATAAGCTGTAAGCTTATCCAGACCAATTTTATGATGAGGATCCCATTCAATTAGCCAGATGACTAGTACCACCACTGGGTGCAAATTAACTACATTTGCTTATAAATTCATGAAATACATGGAATTTTCATGAAAGGTTTACGGCTTTGTAACCAAATTTTAGCAACTTTAGCATCTTAATGATCTGTAAAAGGGAATAAAAAGCACTAAAGGAGATATACCAATCCTTCCTCTTATTATAGGATCACCAACCTGCCATATAACTAAAGGATTTTTAGTGTTTTTGTGTATTTGAGTGTGTATGCTCATGTGTGCAGGTTGTGTGTGTGAGACACACACTTTTGTCTTTAGTTTCAATGTCATTTTATTAAATATATTAACATCTCCCTATCTACCCATCCCCAATAAGACTAATCAACATGAACAAAACCAAATAATCGACTTTATAATTATCTATTCTCACTACATGCAATGGCAGACAATAGTTATATTAATATAGTTATCTATTATGTGCTGCGTAAAATACACTTTAATGTATGAATATATAATGCAATCACAAATTCCCAAGTATGTTATGTATCGTTCACTTTAGGCCTTACATTACAGAGATGCTCTTTAGGAACAGTTACATACAATACTTCAACATCAATAGTAGTAACGGAGTTAGACCTTCTTTTTTATATAAATAACTTTAACTGTAGTTGGGAGCATAAACAGATTATTCTATCTGAGCAGCAATATAAGACCTAAATGGCTTTTTTAAATTTTTATTTCTTTTGTTCTGTGTTTTTGTTTATTCCCCTTGGGAAGTGGTGTTTCTCATTAAGACTGAAGGAAATTCAAGAGAAACATTCCAGTAAAAACATGGGAAAGTGATTAGGTGCAGATATTATTGCTCAAAGGTAATAAGAAATGTATGAGCACAACATATATAAATATTCACAGAATATGCCTATAGTTCAGAGGCAAACATATGAGATGAAGAACCACAGTCCCATTTTATTTCTTCCCAAATTGGTTGACTGGATGGACAGAACAAGTTGCTATAATCTTTAATGGAAAATTATGAGTGCTATGATCTTTCTATTCTGAATGGTATCACCTGTATTTGTGCTGTAGACATGAACTAAATATTTTGCTTACCTAACCCAATCGCCTAACATATGAATGAATAAAATGCCTTTACTTTGCTACTGAATTCATAACTAGTTTTCTATTCCAAAATTCATGCCCCTTGCCATCTGCTTGAGTCATTATTGTACACATTTTCCACTTCCTGCCATCTACCTGATTTCTGCCTCCTCATGTATGATTCAAACGAATAATGGTATCTTTGAACCATCCCCAAGGTTAAGATTCCAGGCTTATTCTTCAGGGTACTAAGGAAGAACAGAAATTAAATATTCCACAAGAAGACAACTTTGGCTTTCTTAATGAACATGTTATGATTAATCAGTCTATCTAAAGGAAAGTTATTCTTTGATATGACAAAATTATGTTACATAATTATTTTAAAAAATCATAATTGTATAGAAAGAAGTAGCTTGACCTTCAAGATATGAGATGAATAACCATAATCCCATTATATTTCTTCCCAAATTGATATAATTTTACTGTGTAAATGTATACACAGGGAAACGATGCCATGCATAGGCTCTCAGTGAAACTATTGAAGAGGAAGGAACTTCCTGTCAGCAATTACCTTGAAAGATGATCAAATTCATATTATAAACAATATAAAAACTATTTCCACATTTGAAGTACTGTTTTCAATGTAAATAGAATTCACTGTTTACAAATACTTATTTTAAACTATTTAATTCATACATTTAGACTATTTCTACACAAGCACATGGATACTCAGTTTGACAGTGGATTCATTCATTAAAATGTTATTGAGGTTCCCTGATAAATCCAGTCAAAACAATGAAACTAGCTATGTCCTTTAAACTAGGTTTTATAAAAACAAACATATTCTGATATTTGATTCAGCTTTCCCACTAGATGGCAATCTTTAGTCATAAATGCAGAAGTCATTTTAAAAAAATATAAAATCTTGTTACAATGCGACAAAGATAGCTAACAAGATGTTAATATTAATTTTTATCATAATCATTATTTTATCATGCTTAAGATAAAGAGATTAACAAGATATTTGGAGGAGTAGTCCTAAAATACTAAATTTGAGAAAGCAACAGAGGATAATCTCCAAAGCAAGGTAGAAAATAAAAGATGTGGCAATACTAAGAAAGCTTTCAAATCCTTAATAAATCCAGCAATCTTGGACCCTTCTACAGGGAAAATATTGACCTTACACAGGGAATATATAGAAAAAAAATAAAATAAATTCTTTGTATCATTTGAATTTTTCATAAGTTTCTATTTACTTATCTTCATCTTATTTAAAAGGGAGACAAATAAAAGACACATACAGAGACAGGGAGAGATTTTCCATCCACTGGATTATTCCCCAAATGCTCACAACATCCAGACCAAAGCCAAGGGTCAGGAACTCCATTTAGTTCTTTCACTTGGGTGGTGGGACTCAAGTACTTGAACTATCATCTATTGCCTCCCCAGGGTGCACATTTGCAGAACACTGAATTGAAAATGGAGGTGAGAGTGGATCCCAGGCTCTCATAAAAGGGATGCAGGAGTCTTAAATGGTGGCTTAACCAGCTGAGCCAAAATGCTGGCCTGATATCTGAATTTAATTTCCATGATGACTGTTATATAATTTTTCTATTATTGATATTTTATTGCCAGAAACACAGAAAGTGGATTATAATTTTAAATGAAAGGAAAGATGATAAAGGTAGCTTCAAGTTAAATGTGAACCTAGTTTTCCAGAGAATTTTAAGGGGAGACAAAAATAAGATTTTTCTAAATTTGGGGGAAAAACCTTCTGTAAAATACTATTAAATACAAATATCACAACTGGATAAATCTTGGAAAAATCATTGCCCAGTAAAGTCCAGGCATCTGAAAATCTACCTTTTTTTTGTGTTAGATTCTGTTATACTCTTTTGAAATGTTTTCAAGTAGAGATTTTCTATCACAGTTCAAAGGCTAAATCAAAAAGAGAACATTTATGTGTTTTTAAAAACCATTTACTGGCCAGCGCCACGGTTCAATAGCTAATCCTCCACCTAGCGGCGCCGGCACACCAGGTTCTAGTCCCAGTCGGTCGGGACGCCGGATTCTGTCCCGGTTGCCCCTCTTCCAGGCCAGCTCTCTGCTATGGCCTGGGAGTGCAGTGGAGGATGGCCCAAGTGCTTGGGTCCTGCACCCCATCAGAGACCAGGAGAAGCACCTGGCTCCTGCCTTCGGATCAGCACGGTGCGCCGGCCGCGGCGGCCATTGGAGGGTGAACCAACGGCAAAGGAAGACCTTTCTCTCTGTCTCTCTCACTGTCCACTCTGCCTGTAAAAAAAAAAATGTACTGATTTTCAACATGATTGCCTAAGAAGAAATGACAAGCTCTCTCCAAGAATTAGTCTTGCCAATTTTAATATTCTGTGTTTAAATGAATTCAATTGATTTCTGCTATGCAAATGCAAATAAATGAATGCAAAAAGCAACCTGGTTTAATTGCTACTCAGAAATGTCCACTGACAAGTTGTTGGTCTGTAGCTTAAAATATTTTCACTAGAACCACCCTTTTCTTGGGGTTGCTTTACTGTCCAATGAACATGTAGTGAGAGCAGTACTGCTAATGCCTAAACAACACGTCTGCATCAGCTAAGGCTTTGGTTTTGGCTCAGTGCAATTTTTGGAAAAAAAAAAAAACAACTCTCTTTTTAAAAAAAGATGTTTTTACTTGGAAGTAACTTAACGTCTGACTTTGCAGTTTTAAGGCAACTGTACTACCTAATCAACCACTACATCCACATTTTTCTATTCAGCAGATACTAAAATCATTAATAAGAGAACTTAAAAAGGATTTATAAAAAGTCACAATTGCAATTGGATACAAAAATCCTTAATGGTGATAACTCACAGAAATATTGGCAACTTATGGCTTTTTTTTTACAACATGTAATATAATTTATAGGATGTTGTACACTGATGAGTATACCCAAGAGCTATATACAGTTATAAATCATTGGTGTTATGGGGCCCTAAATGACCAACAGATTACATCATCCTAGAACAGATCTTCAAGGAAGGCATATTCCTATAATAACAGACACATACACACATACATACACATAAAAAAAAGGTAGAGATAGATGTCTGTGTTACATGTATTTTCATATTTTAATTTTGGTTAAAATGTTAATGGTAACTCCGATCTTATTTAGACAAGGGCATAGTCAAAGTGGAAGTTCTCTCCTCCCTTCAGAGAAAGGTACCTCCTTCTTTTATGGCCCGTTCTTTCTACTGGGATATGCGAATGCCTTAAGGGCTGATTCTGAGGCCAGAGTGCTGTTTAGGACATCTGCCATTCTATGAGTCTTCTGTGTATCCCGCTTCCCATGTTGGATCCTTTTCTCCTTTTTAATTCTATCAGTTAGTATTAGCAGACACTAGTCTTGTGTATGTGATCCCTTTTACTCTTAATCCTGTCATTATGATCAATTATGAACTGAAACTCATCACTTTGACTAGTGAGATGGCATTGGTACATGCCACCTTGATGGGATTGAATTGGACACCCCTGTCACGTTTCTAACACTGTCATTAGGGGTAAGTCCGATTGAGCATGTGCTGAACTGTACATCTCCTCCCTCTCTTATTCCCACTCTTATATTTAACAGGGATCACTTTTCAGTTAGATTGGAGTTGGCGAACTCAAGAGGCTTCCATACCCTTGGCAACTCATGACAAGAGCCTTGGGTAATTACTAATGCCATAAATAAGAGTGTCAATTGTGAAATCAACAACAGGAGTCACTGTGCACTTAGTCCCCATGTAGGATCTCAGTCCTTAATGTGTTGTACCATGTGAAGTAATGGTATCACCTGTATTCAAACAGTACTCTATACTTTGTGTTTCTGTGTGGGTGCAAACTGTTGAAATCTTTGCTTAGGATATACTAAATTGATCTTCTGTATATAAAGATAATTGAAAATGAATCTTGATGTGAATGGGATGGGAGAGGGAATGGGAGATGGGATGGCTGCAAGTGGGAGGGAGGTTATGGGGGGGAAAATCCGTTATAATCCAAAAGTTGTACTTTGGAAATTTATATTTATTAAATAAAAGTTAAAAAAGTTAATGATAAATTCTTTATAAAGGTGATATGTAAAAAGAAAGCACTTACCTACTAAATATAGTTACATCAGATGACTTTATGATGTTGATAATACATAAAATTCAATTAGTGTCACCAAACACTACAACTTTGTTATGTCAAGAGAAAATGTAGCAATGCTCATCTACCAATGTTGAACCAGACATCAATGTCTAATGCTGCAACTGAAAAACAAAAAAAAAACCTAAATTTTACAACTTCCATTTAATTAATATGAAAACCAAACTTAAAACTAAAGATTAATGATCCAGGGCCAGCACTCTGGTGTAGCAGGTAAAGCCACTTCCTACAGTGCCAGCATCCCATATGGGTGCCAGTTCGAGTCCCGGCTGCTCCACTTCTGGTCCAGCTCTTTGCTATGCCCTGGGAAAGCAGTAGAAGATGGCCCAAGTCCTTGGGCCCCTGCACTTGCGTGGGAGACCTGGAAGAAGCTCCTGGCTCCTGGCTTCAGATGAGTGCAGCTCCAGCCATTGCAGCCAATTGGGAGTAAACCAGCAGATGGAAGACCTTTCCCTCCCTCTCTCTCTCTCTCTCTCTCTCTGCCTCTCCTTCGCTCTCTATAACTCTTTAAATCAATCAATCAAAAAAAAAAAAACCAAAAAAGATTAATGATACTTATGTCTTTGTCTTCTATTTGCCACTTACTTTTTTTTATGTACTTCAACTACCTATTTATCCCACACTGCCATTGTACAAACACTGAATTATTTCTCAGGACCAAATGCTGATTCAGGATTGAAAAGTAATTATCTTAGTTAGAATGGCTCTCATAGAAAAATCAACAAATGACAAATGCTGACTAGGATGTGGGGATATAGGTACCTGGGTCCACTTTTGGTAGGAATGTAACCTGGTGCAGCCGCTATCAAAGACAGTATAGAGAAACCTCAGAAATCTGAATATAGACCTACCATAGGATCCAGCCATCCTACTCCTGGGAATTTAGCAAAACCAAAAGAAATCAGTACATGAAGGAGTTATCTGTACCCCTATATTCATTGCAGCACAATTCACAATAGCTAAGATATGGAATCAACCAAGATATCTGTCAACTGTTGTTGATTGGATAAAGAATTTATGGTATACACACACACACAAACACACATACACACACACTATGGAATACTTACTCAGCAGTAAAACAAAAAATCCTATCTTTTGCAACAAGATGGACACAACTAGAAGCCATTATATGTAGTAAAATAAGCCAGTCCCCCCAAAAAAACAGATATCATATGTTTTCCCTGATCTGGAGTAACTAATAGAGTACCTGAAATGTAATATAATGGAATGAAATAGACATTTTGAGATTTGATGACTGTTTATAGTCCTTGGCTTTTTTATAGAGGAACAGTGTTTTTTTTTTCACTTTATACTATTTGTTGAAATCTTTTACTTAATGTAGGGTTAACTATACAAACATTAAGTAAACAGAAAATAGATCTTTGTAAAAATTAAGAGTGGTAACGTGAGAGGGAGGAGGAGGAAGGGTTGCAGCATGGGCAGGGGAAAGGGGAGGGAGTGTCACTATGTTACTAAATCTGTATATTGAAATACATGAAACTTGTATAGCTTAAATAAAATTTTAAAAAATGAAATATTAAAAATATATATGAGCCAAAAAAAGAAAAATAAATATCTTCCCTCATTACTTACTTATTCTTGCTGGACTTCAACCATTAACAAAAAATTGTCTTCAACCTATCCTGGTCAAAAATAGCTTCATTGGGATTAATTATTTGAATATATTACTTGTGCAGTCCTTGGGGATCATTTTCTTCATTGCACATTTATTGCTCAGAGAAGGAGGGGAAAAAACCCAGGTTGGCAAACATTCAAATGAAATGGATTAACCTCATCAGACACAGAGAGTTGGTATATAGTGGAAAGACTTTCTTTTTTTTTTTTTAAGATATATTTATTTGAAAGGCAGAGTTACATAGAGACAGAGGCAGAGAGAGGTCTTCTATCTACTGATTCACTCCCCAGATGGCTACAACAGCTGAGGCTGCACAGATCCAAAACCAGGAGCTTCTTTTGGATCTCCCATGTGGGTGCAGGGGCCAAAGGACTTGGGCCATTTTCCACTGCTTTCCCAGGCCATATCAGAGAGCTGGACTGGACGTGGAGCAGCCAAGACTTGAATCGGTGTCCATATGGGATGCCGTCACTGCAGGCAGCGGCTTCACCAGATACGCCACAGCACCGGCCCCCAGAAGACTTTCTATGGGTGACTGATGGTAGATTACCTTTCTTGAAGTTTACTCTCTTCTAAGTTACTTTGTGTCTTATTTCTATTTGGATTTAGGTTTTTGCTGTTTGGAATAAGGGGATTTATCTTTTTTGCGTGTTTTGTTTTGTTTACTTGCTGTTTTATTTCATAACTAGTCTAACTTTTTTACTCTGCATTGGAACTTCAAAAGATTTAGAGTTAATTATACAAAGCTTTGCAACAATCTCAGATTTTCAAAATAACATATGTAGGTACAGTATATCATCAATGAAATAGGCAATTAGTTATTATATTTATACATTGATGTTCAGTGCACAGACTACGAGTAGTGAGGTTCTTATTTTTACAATTTGTACCTTAGTCAATCACATTGTTTGAGCACATTATAATTAATAAATACATGTCTTTTCTGCTACTTCATTTAGGGTAAGGGAAAATTTCCTCATGATCATTCCTAGAACCAATTTTGCTGATTTTTTAGATGCTTTTATTAAGAGAAAAGCATTCTCAATGTAGGTACCAAATGTTTTCTGTTAGTGTTATAAATACTTGGCTTGAAAAAATAAAAATATACTATAAAATGGAAATAACATTATTAGGTTTCTTGTATAATAAGTAGTAGATATTTAATGGTCTTAAACTTTAATTAAAATAGCTAACTTATGTTAATGCACTATTGTAAAAGAATAACTTCCCCTAGACATTCATATATAGTTGATGATTTTATTTTTTTAATTTTATTCTTAAAATTTTTTGTATTCTTAAAGTTCATTTTAAAATTTTGGATTAACATTAAATATATGTAAATTTTATGAGGGATAGTACATTATTTCCACAGATAACACACAGCATACACCAATCATACCAAGCCATTAACCCTTCTCTTTCCTTAATGTCAAACTATGTTATGCTGCTCTTCTGGGGCACAACAGAATTCATTACCTTCAACTGACTGAATTTTTGTACCAATCATCCAAACTCCCTCAACCTTCACCATCCTGTTTCTAGTTATCATTGTTTTAGATTCACATTAGCTACACATTTGAGCAGTTAATTATGAACTATAGACATATTTGAATATGAACATATTTCCACATAGAAAACATGAAGCATTCAGCGTTCTGTGTCTAGTTTATTTGCCTTAACATAATTATCTCCAATTCCATCCATTTTGTTGCAGATGTCAGAATTTCATTTTTTGACTGAGTAATACTTCTGATTAACATATAATACTTCTTTGCCTTTATGGAACACACTATAATATTTCAACACATCATTGCATCATAAATT